AAAATGCACCATAGGTTTTGCAACATTATTTCATCTTGTTAAGAAACACAACTTCCTTATATCTCCAAGATTGCTCAAACATTTTCATGCCAAATCAATATAGAATTGTTTACAGACGCATTTGTTACACGATAAATTTATATAAATTGACAGGGTGTGACAGGTTTTGTTGCCTTGTTTCCGAAAACATGTGTCCTAAACTGAAAAAACACGTTGTCGTTGTAAAATATTCTCCTTGCAGACAATACACAAATGACAAAAATAAATAAACACAATCTTTTTTTTGTGATTTATGGTTGAATTATTAAATGCAATATACATACAAACCTTTTTTCTTAAATGATATCATTTTGATTTAAACATGAAATTCGCAACAATTATCGCATAGTTTATACTAGTAATATATCTAAATGCTCACGTTGTTTTATCTGTTAAAGAACAATGTACACGTGCACTTTGGTTTCGTAAGCATTATTGTTGAACAAAATTTTAAAAAAGAAGATTTTTTTTATCATTTTCTAGTTTAATATCAATGGCGACCAGCTCTGTCAAAATAAGCTCAGTCAACCCGTTTTCGGAATTAAAATTGACGTGTTAACGTTATAATGATGACACGAACAAGTCATCTAATTAAAAACGAATGTTAAAGTATTCGTGATTTGATATTTTAACAATTCTAAAATACGAATGCTAAAATATATTTTATATTGGATAATACAATTGAATTGACATACATATTAGAATTATTCTTTAAGTTAACCTGCTGAATTAGTTTGTTTCTGATATATTTATCGACATATTTTATTATCATATACATTCGAAGAACATATTACTTTTTTAAAAAGCAAAATTTATTCTACATTTGAGAATCATCATTCGATTTTACTACCAATCATTTTATTAAAAATAATCGTTTGATCGTGCAAAATTGTTTTTGCCAATCTTACAGTATATAAACAACACACACAATAAAAGTAAAAAAGAATGTAAAACTACAAAAATACAAATCGATCAATTTTAAAATTTAAATAATATAAATACCTTATCCCTCTGAGAGTGATTATATATAATATATATCTACGAGATAAAAGCAAAATTAATAGTAGTGCGGGCTGAAGTATATATTCATTCCCTGCGGGCTCCATTGTACGCGATCAATTTTTGAGCCATAGAGGAGCAGCAACCTGTTTCGGTATATGGAGGAGCACGTGATCTGTAAACCGTTCATGATTGGTTAATTGACCTTTTCGAAAACTTAGCTAAACACCGTTTTCAGGTGCGTTACGAATTTAGCTCTGGGGAAGTACACCTAATTATATACGTAACACAGTTATATGTATACTGCTACGATATCTCTATTTTTCTATCATTATTTAACCGTTTTAGGTTGAAAAACTTGATGCGTTTCGAAATTATCAATGTTCTTTTTAATATCTTTCTAAAAAATTTCAAAAAATAATTGATAGTACTGAAAATCTATAAAATCAAAACATTCGTAGTGGCATCTGCAATAATAAATAGAGATCTTTTCTGCGGAAACTTGTGTGTTTACTTTAATTTTTGCACGGAATTATTCACTCAATGGTATTTAAATAATGAAATAAAAAATAATTGTTTTTTTTATTTGAGCAATTTTGTACTGCGAGTATCTTAGCGACTAAAGAAATACCTATCTAGGAAATTACAATTATAGATACATGTATAATGATCATTCTTTTATTAACTTTATGCAGACAACAGATGAAGTAAAATTATCGAATCTTATAACAGCTATATCTACTAAATTTCAAATTTAAAAAAAGCCATGCCGCCTTATTCGAAAATACTTTAAGTACTATGTCTTACCTTAACATGGTAACATCCATTTGTACACAATTTTTTACCTATAACACACTTTTTCATGCCATCTTTAGCTGTAACTTTGCTGTCTATGTTTAGAATTGAAAACACACTTTCACCTTTTTTCGTGCTGTTTTTTTATAATGACCGAACTACGCAAATCATGAATACTCCGCGAAAGGAAATATATTTCGTAAGTTCTTACTTTTGTCGAACTAAAAGCGTAACTTTGATTTGTCTTAAACGTACCGATTATTAGACAAAGTAGCGAAATGAAAATAATATAGTTTAAATTGAGATTGTGTGACTATTTAATGAAAGCACATCTTTTTTATTTGCCAACGTAATTGGTACATTTATATATAAGGTCGCTTATGTCATTGATTTTGCACTTACTATAAGAAATATTTGTTGTTTGTTGTTGTATAGGGTACTTTGGTATATTACTCATTTTATCCATTAAATAAGTCACTGCTCGGTGACAATATACAATAACAATAGCGACGACAGAAAACTAAATTACATACATATCTAAGGACGCTGCTCTCAACTTGACAAGATGATCGACCGGAAAGTGTCAAGACAGATTCGTATTAAATATTGAAATTGAAAAAAATAATTGTATGGAAGATTTGTATTGTTTTCTTTTCGCCTTATTTTTAAGGAAAATAACAGTTTCATTTTCATTCCAAAGTACGTAGGTGTTTTCCACTGTTAAATCAGAAAAATTGACCTCAATAGAGAAACTCATTCAATAAGCACTATTTTTTGCATTAAAACAAAATGTATTTTTCAAAATCAATGTTTAAATCCTTACAAGAATGTGTCTGCATTGCATTAATATCAAAGAGTCCTTAGAGACCCCGTATGCTGTAATTTATTGTCACTTTATGCACAAGGATTGCTTTAACGTTAACTCTTGCTTGTATCACTGGGCTTATTAAAACTTTAAAAAAAAACTATTCAAAGATGTTGATGAAGAGTTATTTGTTGCATGAAGTATTATGAATATTTGAATTTTTGTAAAATACTAGAACACATCCAGAAAACGTCCAGGCTTTAATTGTATAAAATGTGGTGTTTATTGTTGATGTCTTGCAGAAATTGCTATGTATATTCAATACATTAATTCACTTTTATCAGATTGTCTATGATCCTAATAAATTACACCATAATGTTAATTCAAAAGTCAAAGAACATTCGCATTACTGTTGTTTTGTTTACATACTTTTAGAATTATTGACATTAAAAGCGAAACAAACTTTTTATTTTAGAATTAGTTATTGGATTATATTTTGATAATATAGCTTCCTTTGAAATAAGATTGTTTATATTATAATATAGATTTAGTTTACATAAAGTTTGACAGCAAAAAACCAGGACATTTCTTTTCTTTTAATTGTGTTTTATGATTGTAAGTACAAACGGATATAAGGTAATTTCAAATATAAGATCATATTCTAAATCTTAATGTAAAATTAAATTTTGTTTTAAGCACGATCTATGGACAGAAAGTATGGGTTTTTGTCTAGAAAAAAACTATGGCCTCTTTTTTACCATACATATTGGTAAGACCAGGGACATGATACCTGTGCTGTCTTTTAATATATTTTTCTTAAATAGAAATATATCTCGGGCTGTAAGACTATTCAATTAATTTGTTTTTGCTGAGAAGAAATATTTCGTCTTTTTCGATTCCGGAAGAGATATATCAAGTTCACTATCGTGTATTTTATGTAATATTTATGTTGTCTTGTTTGATACAAAAATTGTTTACGATTATCTGGTTTTAATAAAAAAAAATACATAGTATATCAAGTAACTAACAACTTTAAATAATCCTGGTCAATTGGATTGTCAAATAATCGCACTTATTTTTTATTATCTTGGAATATTGTTTACTTGTATTCTAGTTGTTTATTTTATGGTAAGGGGCCGTTGCTAAACACTTTTTTTAAATATATTATATGCATGTTTTACACTTGGAAATATTTGTAAAAAAAATTAAAGTAAACGTAAATGCTGATTTAGTACCAAATTTATGGTTATATTTAACAGTTAGCAAATTGTATGCGTTTATCTATGGTATGTATAATATGTAAGGCATCAGCCTTTCAAAGCTATGTGCCGTCACTGGTTCTGCATGTTCTGTGCACGGCAGGTGGTGAGGTGTTATAACCTGAGTAACATCTCCTGCCTACCGCTAGCTCCATGCTTCCGCTGCTACATAGTTGGCAGACCACTTTCCTACAAGTGGAAATAGAAGCGGAAGCAAATTTTTAAACCCTCCTAGACTGAGGGTCAAATAAAATTTTAAAAAAAGTTTTCTTTCTGATTGGCTTTACGACGTTTCCATGGAGACGAACCGGAAAAATATTGGTTGACAAAGACGTAGGTGCGACAGGACTCTGCTCAGGATTAAAACCCCGCAAAACCGATGTTTAGGACTCTGCTCAGGGGCCTTTGGTTGACAAAAAAAATGGTAAGTGTGACAGGACTCTGCTCAGGCAACAATAAACCCTGAACAATTACAAAAGATTATAACAGAATCAGAGATTATACAAAATGATTTATCACAGATGTGCTTGTAAATAAATAAAAATCATTGAATGTATGTACAATAATTAAACAATTAATATTATACAAAAATAATTGATTGGTTATTTACAAAAATCATTAACAAAATCAAATGTATGTACAATAATTAAACAATTAAATCAAAACAAAGAAAAATAGTTCGTGTGTATGTACAAAATTATAACGGAATCAAATATGTATTTTTACTCTATAATATTCATTTTTTTATAGGACTTTATTTTTATAAGTTTTAATATAAAAATGAATGGTTGGTGTCTATTGTGATGTTAAAGAAAGCATACCGTGCTTACTTAAGCATTTGAACATGTTCCATATTTTTTCTCTGATTGCATTTTCGTTTAGAGAATACCACTTTTCCTTATTTATCTCTCTTCTTGCATTTCGAACAGTATAAATTAAAGGTTTAGATGACTTTTCTTTTGCTAGAAGAATTAAAGCCCTGAATCATTAAAGAACTCCTGGTTCTCATCTGGCGTCCATCTCCGCCTTCCAGCAGATGATGTTCAGCTGCTGTTTCCTATCCCAGGTAAGGGTGATGCTTCTCATCTGGCGTCCATCTCCGCCTTCCAGCAGATGATGTTCAGCTGCTGTTTCCTATCCCAGGTAAGGGTGATGCATACAGGGGTGAGGTTAGATCGGGATCTACTTTAAGCACCCACTGTGCTGTTCTGTTATCCTATAGCTGTCCGGGAGAATGGGGAGGGGAAGTTTCCTCTAGTATTTTGTTTCCTTCTTGTCCTTGTTCGGGAGCGTGTACCTCCGCCTTTACCTGTATTGTATTTCTGGCCCCGTGTATGTTGTTTCCTTCTTGTCCTTGTTCGGTGGCGTGTACCTCCGCCTTTACCTGTATTGAATTTCTGGCCTCGTGTATGTTGTTTCCTTCTTGTCCTTGTTCGGTGGCGTGTACCTCCGCCTGTACCTGTATTGTCTTTCTGGCCTCGTGTATCACCTAGTAAAATGTAATTTAAAGTAGTTTCACTTATAATGTCTTCTATAAAACGAGGAGATTAAGGTCAACAAAGGAGCAACCGAACAAAGGCACCGCAATTTATAAATAGAAACCAAAATAAAAAAAAAATGTAAATATGTTATCCGACAAGAAATAAATATGGATTTGATTTTATTTGATTACTTTTGCAGCCTCGTCCGGCCCATGTACCATTTTGTAATATTTCTGGTGTGTGTTCAAAGCGTGTCGGAGTTGTTTCGCCATTTGGCGCGAAAGCAACGGCGAGATTGTCGCCATTTTTGTGGCTAGGCGTTTCCTGTTGAGAGTGGCATTGAACGGACCATACGTCTTACGCATTTCGCAAATTGCCCAGGTCATATTGAGCTCGTAGTTGACACGGCTACTTGACATCTGATTGCCATTTGGTAGACAAAAAAGGTATTTGGAATTATATATCGAATGTCTCAACTGTTTGATTGCCCGAAAGGCTGCATCTTTGCATGCAAGGTAGAATATTCCTGTAATAGAACAGAAAAAAAAAGTTTATTAATGTAGGCCAAAGGCCCTTTACATATGTAACATCCTATTAATACTTGCAAACTAGATTGAATTGCATGTACACATACGAGATATTGCAAAACTACAATACAATTTTAATGAAAGTTATCAAGACATTATTTTTGTAAAGAAGTCTGTTTTGTGATGATGAACTGGTATTACCCAGTATGTAGTTCTGTCTTTCAACTTTACTTCTTCCGCCATGTCCACCTCGGTCAAACTTATATTTTGAATGACGGAGGGCCTTGGCCCTCCGTCGATAATAAGAGTAGAGATAAGGAACCGGGCTCTTAGTTGAATGTTGCTCTGTCTTTGCCCTGTCCTGTTTTTGTTTGGGGTCCGCCTGGGCTCCTTGCCATTGGTTCTTGTTGCTGGGTCATATGGGGGTTGCGTTCATTGAACGCCGCCTTTCCTTGTTGATCTTGTTTATCAAATTGTATGGCGTAGGGTGTGTAGACAAATTGGAAATCGCCTCTTTGACTTCAGGCTTTTCATGGAAGTCTTCAAGGTTAAGTAGCGCTTTGACCCGCTTCATCTCATTTGAATACAAATAATTCGCCCGAACCTTCTTCTCCCTGTTCAACACGCTCATTATTCCGGGGAGTTGGTTGAAGAGCCATGTCTGTTGCTTGATGCGTCATCAGCCATCTGACCACCATGATATTTGCGAACAATTTCAAGACGCATAGATTCGCGAATATCGTCGAGGAGGCGAGTCCTACAACATGAAAAATACGTAAAGTGAAGCAGTGATGCTTGCTTGATTCATTCACAATCGAGCTTAAATCAAATAGTATTAGAAACTAACCCCAACCCTTGTATGTATGTATGGTTGTATGTATGTATGGTTGTATGTAACAATGACCAGAAGCAGTGCCGTTAAAGGCCTGTTAGAGTAAGTCCCTTGAAGTGTTGGCTGTTTGGAAGCCTCTCCTAACACTAACGACACGCAGGACTAAACGGAAAATTACAGGAACTCTCACGACAAGAGGGACTAAATCTACAACTATAGGGACTTAACCGACAAAAAAGACTGTAACGACTATGTATGTATGTATGTATGCATCTATGTATGTACGTATGTATATACGTATGTATGTATGTATGTATGTATGTATGTATGTATGCATGCATGCATGCATGCATGTATGCATGTATACATGCATCTATGTATGTACGTATGTATGTATGCATAAATGCATGTAATGCAGGAGCAATGTCGTGAAAGGCCTGTTAGGGTAAGTCCTTGGAAGTGTTTGCTGTTTGGAATCGTCTCGTAACCCTAACGACAAGAGGGACTTACCCGACAAACAAAGGACTGTAACGACAATAAGGGACTACAGAAGAACCCCAAACAAAGTCTTGTGCTATTAGTATATATATGTACAAAATATAACCTACCTCTGTTGCGAAGGTCAAGGTTTAGGGCTGGTTCTACATCTGACAACTCTTGAAGAACTTGTCCTCGAAGAAGTGGTAGTTGACGATCTGAAATTTATGCAATATGATGTATTTATGTTTTATTCTCTACAGTGTGTATAATGGTATCCTCTCTCCCTGTCTCCAGTGTGTATTATTATATCCTCTTTCTCTTCAATTTGTATATTATACCATCATTCACACCAGTCTGGACTATAGCGGCAAAAAAGGACTATAACTCTAGTCCTGTTATGGCAAGACCTTGAAAGTGTTGGCTGTAAGGAAGCACTCATAACTCTTAACTGCAAGAGGGACTAAACCGACATGACAGGGACTCTCACGAGAAGAGGGACTTAACCGACAGTTTCAGGGACTTCACCGATAAATTAAGGACTCTAACGACTATCAGGGACTTCGGTACGGACGCTAACGACAATCGGGGACTAACGCAACAATTTCAGTGACTATACTGACAGAAAAAGTCTGTAAGGACTATATATGTATGTATGCATGTATGCATGCATGTATGTATGTATGTATATATGTATTTATGTTTGTATGTATGTCTGTATGTATGTAAATATGTATGCATGTATGTATGTATGTATATATGTATGTATGCTGCATGCATGTATGTATGTATGTATGTATGTATTTGCTCTCCAGTATGTATTATTAAACCAACATTCTAACCAGTGTGTATTATAATAATGTCATTATCTCCAGTGTCTATTATAGACGAATGTATATTTACACGCACAATACATTAAATTAAATTTGAACCTACCATGATCTTGAATGTGATTGTCGTGTGGGTGATGTGAGTGACCATCTGTCTCTCCTGGAACGGAGGAACTTGAACGGGAAGATCTCCTGGAACGGGAGGATCTCCTGGAACGGGAGGGTGACCTGGAAGATATAGAATGTTGTTATTAATTTCTTATTCTCCTGCAATTAGTAATTTTATTATTTAAAAAGTCTACCCTAATACTGACTAGATTTTTAATTTTTATTTTAATTTTTCTACTGAAATTTTTATTATATTAACTTCTGAGATAGTAATGAATGTACGTATGTTTGTATGTATGTATGCATGTATGTATGCATGTATGTAACGCTGCCCATGAGCAATGTTGTAAAAGGCCTGTTAGGGTAAGTCCTTGGAAGTGTTTGCTGTTTGGAAGCGTCTCATAACCCTAACGACAAGAGGGACTTACCCGACAAACAAAGGACTGTAACGACAATAAGGGATTTTAGTAGAAACCCGAACAAAGTCTTATGTAATTAGTATAAATATGTGCAAAATATAACCTACCTTTGTTGTGAGTGTCCACTGTTAGGGCTGCTACCTTTTCAGACAGTTGAAGAACTCGAAGATCTGAAATTTATGCATTTTGATGTATTTATTATGTATTTTACCATTATTTTCACCAGTCTGGACTTGAGCCGTTATGTATGTATGTATGTATATATGTATGTATTATTATGCCATCCTTGTAACCAGTGTGCATTATTATTATAATTTCATCACTCCAGTGTCTATTATTGCTGTTGAAATTACGACGATTGTACATTATATTAAATATGAACCTACCTGGATCTTGAATGTTGCCCTCGTAAGGTTGACCTGGACCGGTCTGGCCGCATTCTTCTTTCTCTCCTGGATCTGTTGGAACGGGAGAATCTCCTGGAACGGGCGGATCTCCTGGAACGGGAAGATGACCTGGAAGATGTAAAATGTTGTTATTATTTAAGTTCTTATTCTACTTTGAAATATTTAATTAATTTTATTTTGAAAAAAGGCTAATCTTATACACACTTTAGATATTTAATTTAATTTTTTTTTTTTAATGAAATTTTTATTACGATAATTTCTGAGATAGTAATGAATGTATTCTTTATTTTCAATGCTCAAGAGTAAATTTGAACTGAAACCTACCTTAAACTTGACGAATCAAGTCGTTTCTGTTGATCCGCAACTCTCCTTTTTTCCGCGCTCGACGGATACGGGTCTCTAAACTCTTGTCTCTCTAAAATAGAGAAAAACAGAATCCCTAAAGAAATTCTAACACAACAAAATTGAAAATGTTGCAGGCTCGGTTTGATTGAGCCTGTTCATGGACGGTACTGGAAAGTGCAAGTTACCGTCCACGCCCCCTAGCACCGGCTTAAGCAGAATTCAACATAACAGAGAAATACAGAATCCCTAAGGAAAGCCCAACACGACAGAATTGAAAATGTTGCAGGCTCGGTTTTATTGAGCCTGTTCATGGACGGTACTGAAAAATGCAAGTTACCGTCCACGCCCCCTAGCACCGGCTTAAGCAGAATTCAACATTTAAACACTAAAATGGTGAAATTTTGAAACATCCGCAGATGTGTTCATACGGCGGTTTTCATGGAACCTTCAATGTGACACAGTAGTGTCATTCCATGAAAAGCGGCGTATGGTCCCCAAGTAAAAGAATGCGTTTGCCCTAAACGTGAAAACAATGGGCGGAACTAAATAAAATGGAATTTTGAAAGGGGATGATAAGACGTCAAAAGACAAATTTAAAAAGCAGGCAACATATCCTAAGGGTAATTAAACAGTATTCAAGTAGGAATATTGGAACCACCCAAATTGAAAAAGGCCAAATACAAGAAACTAAAAATACCATGTAAAATGTATACACAACAATAATGTCGCGCTGAACGATCTTCAAAGATCGAAAATATAACATCATTGATTAAATGTGCGGGGAGACGTTTTACAGCCGCCACACGGCACAAATAACACGGATGTGACAATAAAATAGAGAAATACAGAATCCCTAAAGAAAGCCCAACACGACAAAATTGTAATGTTGCAGGCTCGGTTTGATTGAGCCTGTTCATGGACGGTACACGAAAATGGTAACACGAAATGTCACACGAAAATGGTAAAATTTTGAATTTAGAGACATCCGCAGATGTGTTCATACGGCGGTTATCATGGAACCCTCTTGTGGAATTGTCCAATCGAGATTGCATATCCTGGTCGCTTCCGTGCTTACATTCCATCCGCGAGATGGAATGGACATCTCTTAAGTGCCGCGGTATATCTGTCAACATTTTTTGGCACTCCAACACAGGACGCAGTTTATAGTACCGTACGTTTAGGACCACGAACTTCTCGCCAATTAAGGAGAAATGCCCCGGAGCTGACACTTTTGCTCGGACCCTAGCTGGTGCATGTGTTGGCCTCTAATGTGTTGAGTGACCTATACCGTCCATGAACAGGCTCAATCAAACCGAGCCTGCAACATTTTCAATTTTGCCGTGTTGGGCTTTCTTTAGGGATTCTGTATTTATCTATGTTATGATCACATCCGTGTTATTTGTGCCGTGTGGCGGCTGTAAAAAGTCTCCCCGTACATTTAATCAATGATGTTATATTTTCGATCCTTGAAGATCGTTCAGCACGACATTATTGTTGTGCTTGTGGTATTTTTAATTTCAACTTTTCGGCATTTTCTAGTTGGGTGGTTCCAATATTCCTACTTGAATAATGTTGAATCACCCTTAGGATATGTTGCCTGCTTTTTAAAATTTGTCTTTTGACGTCTTGTCTGTGATATGCAGGCTTCATAATCTCAGATCCCCTTTTCAAAATTCCATTTTATTTCGTTCCGCCCATTGTTTTCTCGTTTAGGGCACACGCTTTTTATTACTTGGGGACCATACGCCGCTTTTCATGGAATGACACGGAAGTGTCACATTGAAGTTCCATGATGGACCGCCGTATGAACACATCTGCGGATATTTCTAAATTCAAAATTTTACTATTTCATGTTTAAATGTTGAATTCTGCTTAAGCCGGTGCTAGGGGGCGTGGACGGTAACTTGCACTTTCCAATACCGTCCATGAACAGGCTCAATCAAACCGAGCCTGCAACATTTTCAATTTTGCCGTGTTGGGCTTTCTTTAGGGATTCTGTATTTATCTATGTTGTGCGTTCATTCAACGCCGCCTTTCCTTGTTGATCTTGTTTTTCATATTTTAACAACCTGAGCCTTGTATATCGTGCACTTGTAACGATTTCTGTGCTGTTTAGGAGGCATGCTGACGTCCTGTCTCTTTGGCATCTAACTGCAGAATGAGTGATGAGAAGAGAAGCGGGCTACTATATAACAAAAAATCGATACCCCGAGTTTATAATCGGTAGAATCCCTGACTGAAGGACTTTTATCACGGGACTATAGCAATTATACGTGTTCACTACCCAAGTTGATATCGATAAATTCTCTACTTTCTGATTGGCTATCCGACGTTTCCATGGAGACGAACCCTGTAAAAAAATGTAGTTTTTCAATATATACTGGAAGGACTGTAGTGGACATTAACGAGATTGTTCTTGTTTATCATATTTTAAATGGACTTTTATAGCGGGACTATAGCAATTATGCAGGATGGTATACCAAGAGGGACTTAACCGACAATTTCAGGGACTATAACGACAAAAGAAGGACTTAACGACTATGTACCGGACTAAATCAAATGGGGTTCAAGAACCAGGGTTTACAAAGTCCCCTCGTCTTAGTCCATAGGCCACTAACCCCTAAGCAATGTCGTTATAGGCCTGTAGGGTTAGTCCTTGGAAGTTAAGGGACTGATGTTTAGAACTCTGCTGAGGGGCCTTTGGTTGACAAAAAAAACCGTAAAAGTGACAAGACTCTGCTTCAGTCATGACAAACTGTCATATATAATCCTGACTCTGTCAAGCAGGGGCTCTTATTTTTCTGGACCTCACATTGTTTATTGTCTACCCGTTGGCCACCTACTTCTCGTAGATGTTCACCCTTGCACCGCGATGAGGTCGGTAGACTAGGCAAGGGGTAGGCCAGTCGATTTGCGACCGGCCTTGAAATCAAGGAGCTCAAAGAATCACAGAGCCAATCAATGAAAGTAACAAGAACATAAGAAACAGAACAAGCAAACCAACAACATATGTACAAAAGACAGACTCACTCGGAGGCAGAGGCCCCGTCGAGAGTCCCCCGTGACATTGCCTCAGAGTTAGAAGCAGCCGGGGTCGGGGGAGTACTCGGTACTCGAGTTCAGTGACCCAGCCTCAACCATCAGACGGAACTCGATCCTCTGATCCTTTAAAAAAGTGACCACAGAATCCAGGTCCGCCTGATGGTACACGCCGTAACCCCGGTACCCGCACAGTTCAGTTTCCTTCACGTGGAAACCCTTCCTCTTGACATAGAAAAACAAACGTAAAAAATCCACATCACGCACAAAGACAACACTAGGAAGCTCTATATCTACAGAACAACTGAACTAACAGCAAATTGATTCCCTTCAATTATCTCCCCCTAAACTCTCCATGTGGTTTTCTCAAAATGGCGTATATTACTTTTTAATCAAATAGAGGCCCCTGAGCTAAGTCCACGGAAGGACTTTTATCGCGGGACTATACAACAATTATACAGGGTTCACTACCCAGGTTGATATCGATAAAAGTCTTCTTTGTGATTGGCTATCTGATGTTTCCATGGAGACAAAAAAATGTTAAGAGAAAAAAGGTTAAATTTCGAAAATCGTCTAATCGTGAGGCCCTCCCGGACTTTATACACACGGGTTAGGGTCTAGGGTTAGGGTAAACGGAGCCACTAAAGGCCCGAGGGTAAAGGGGCCTCTCACGACAATCCTTATCCGACAGGACTGTAGTTGACGCGCTGTAACTCTGTTGCCAAAGGCCCTAGCGGGTTTCGAACCCCTGCATTTTCGAGGCCTGCATCGAAAGTCCGTGCCCTGAAATTTTCAGGTCAAACCCTGCTCTTTAAGGGCAAAACCCTGACAAAATTGCAGGTAAAGGACTTGAGACAACTAGACCAGGCCCGCGAAAATGGACGCTGGTTGACAAAATATGATAAACAAGATCAACAAGGAAAGGCGGCGTTCAATGAACGCAACCCCCATGTGACCCAGCAACAAGAACCAATGACAAGGAGCCCAGGCGGACCCCAAACAAAAACAGGAAAGGCAAAAACAGGTTAATCATTAAATGATAAATAATTTGTTACTGATTAGGAATTCAAAGAAAGTAATAATAGGCCCACAAAGGGGACAGGAGACCGGGGGAAGGGGGGGAGGGTTAATCAAAGAAATAAAATCTAGAGGCAATGGGGAAGATACTTACCGTAGACGAGAAAACAACAAGGGACACAAGCAAAAGTGTCACCAAAACAGTATGAAACAACATAGACATACACCTGAGGAACACAGTGGGCGCCGCCTTGGAACGGTCAGCAGCATGCAGCATAATAATGACTGCTGGGGAGTTAAAACCGGTTAATGGTGCACCAAACCTCGCTCTTAGCCCCACCATGTTCCTATAAACGAGACAGTGTAAATAAAATGAATCCCCGCCAAGTGAAATTCTAACAGTTGTCATGATTTCAAAAGGTTAAATAAGTAAAACACTAAAATGATCATGTAGAAACATATAAAAGTAAACCCAATGACCATAACAAAAGTACTCAATGTCCTCAAGGAAGACAGAGCAAAAAGAAAATCACCTACAAGGGCCCGACGAAGCAAGGCAAATGACGAACATTAAGATAATTCAGTCCCAAAGGGCTTTACGAACTATCCATCATAGTCTCCCACTTGGTCCGTCAGATGCAATAAAAAGAGGAAAGCGTAGTGTCCAACTGTAAAAGGGTTGAACACTAAACATGCAGTATGTCTTAAAATAGTAGGGTCATAACCTCTTTTAATAAAACGTTTAATGATTTTAGTAAAAACTGCAGAAAAATTACCATGACCCAAAATCTTACGAAGTTTGTAAATCACAGCGCCATAAAAACCAGGCTGGCTAATCCCTTGTCGCAGAAGAGTTTTTAAATCACTATTGAATTTAGAAATTAAATCAAAGTTCCGATTGTAAATTTTAGTAAAATATTTCCGTAATTTAAGCCAGGCTAAAGGACTTTAAGACATCAAAATCATGACCTTGACCTCAGAGCGAGTTAAAAAAAATTAATCTCTTTTCCAAGAGAGACTTTTGTTTTAAATTTGGAGGAAATCGAAGAAACTTTATGAAAAGTTCCAAAAAATATGATCCTCTTGCAAAATATATAAACACATTCCCTAATTAATTAATATTAAAGAATATGCCAGAAGATGCCTTTAATTGAAATATCAA